TGCATAACATGGTAGCTAAACACTTACAAAAACAACATGGTAAATGAACACATCCAAATCATGCTTGTTGGTTCATGCTAAGCAATGTAAATGTTCTTGATCTCTATATGATTTGGACAGGAGGCAGTATTTGCCTCCTCAAGTAAATTTATGGGTGTATTCAGAAAAGAATTCTAGAGACCTGTGGAATTTGTGTGATCAAAGACTTATGACTCACCAGGAATGTAAAATGTTCCAGCTTTGGTTTCAGGAACCTTAAGTCTCAGTTTAGGCAGTTTTGTTTTTCAGGTCTCTTTGTTGCTGCAGCCTTGGTTGTACCCTTCACAGGCACACGGGAGTCAGGCTCATCCTTGTCACTTGGTGCCATTGACTTTAATTTCAGCTTGCATATTTGGTAGTACTCTGAACGCCCTGGTTATAGCTGATAATATATTAGCTTCAATTTACAAATTAAGGCATCTGCTTATTATGATTATGCAAAAAGTTTGAAGTAGGTTGGCTGTTCTGTAAATACTGAGCAGAAGACAAGTAGAACTTCAGAATAATACTATGTGTATCAATCTCGGGATTTTTCTCTACCATTTGGGATTAGAAATAGTTTGTCCAGGAAAATGATAATTTATTTTAATGCATTAAAAGGCAGATGACAATACTTTTTATGCTTTCCTTGTTTTTTAATCTGCTCTTTTTACAAAGCAAGAGTACTTTGTTGAACCCCATAGCAGCACTTTTGTTAAAGTGGGATCATGGCTCCCCCTCTTAATTCTGGTCAGTTTTTGGTTCCTGTAGGCCATATTCTGCACCTGTGTTGGAGTAGGCCCATACCCATGTGGTCCCCTCTATCACTTTGTATTTTTGCCTTCCATCACATTAACATTTATTGCTCTCTTTTATAACATTCCCTTCACTAAATCTACTAGAAAACCTACCAATGCTAATTACTTGCAAATAGTAATGGTAATTTTAATGACAACCTCAGTAAATTGCTTTTAATGTGCTGTAAGAAAATTGAAAACTAAGTGTCCATTTTGCTGCTTAATAAGAATCTTATAGAACAACTAATAGTCCTTGTACTCCTTCTGTCTACTGGGAGCAGAAATAAGAAACTCCCAGTATCCATGAAATCCCTTCCTGTGCACCATGGCATGGGTTACCTGGAGTTGAGGAGACAGCCAAAGGCACAAGTAGGTGAAGAAATGAAATAGAAATGGAGATGCAAGGAAGATGAAAGACTAAGGTGAAGAGTCTGTGAAAGAGTGTGAAGCATAAGGAAGATCAAATAGGGCAGAGGAAACTGTATTATAACTTTAGAAACATCTCTGGATAAAAGACTGGAGCATTTGGCTGGCTTCTTTTAGTGGTCATATGGGAGATTGAATCCAGGAGTGCTGCAGCTGTAGCAATGTTGGGCCAGGGTGGGGAGATTCAGGAGATAACAAACACTGAAGTGGTTACACCCTGTGCTGTAGTACAAGGACTGTTTTTTCATCAGTAAAACATGTCACCTTGCCTGCATGTCTTCCGTGTACAGCAGAAGGGCTGTGAGCTGGTGATGAATGTAGAAATAACTCAGTAAGCCAGTGATTGCTGCTCCAGAGTTGTGCCTGGTAGGAGGGTGGGTTTAGGCATCCTAATGCTTTGGCTGTTGGGAGCTGCTGCTTTCCCACCAAGGCAGCAGCTCCTGACTCTGGCAGTGTTCTGCCGTGCCTCTGCCTGCACCCCATCAGGGCAGCATCCCCTACTCACAGCTACTGGAGGTGTCTGCTGGGAGGCACCATCCTGGGAATTCCACATCAGCTCTCCTGGACCCTGTGCCACAGACGAGAACCAATGCCTTGCACACAGCCGTGAGGCATCACTTACTACCTGCCTGGAAGTAACTTCCCTTGGAGTCTGCAGTGATTTGGCAGGAGTGGAGAGCTGCATGGTTTGGCAGAGATTTGCAGAATTGGCCTAGGCAAAGCAGACTTGGGAGAGGGGAAGCTCTGGGTTGGGAAATGGTGGTGGGAAGAAATAGTTATTTGTCCCAGGCTGCTGCCCTGACTGCCCTCAATCCGTGCCCAAGTGCCCCAAGAGAGGGGGGAACTGAGAAAGGATCTCCTTATACAAACCTTTCCCAAAGGATTCTGGCAGGAAAAGTAGCTCTGGATTAGATCTGTTTGCTTTTAAAGTAGGCAGTACCTGTTAAGAGCCAAACTGCTGTCTGTCTTAATAATTTAAGCTTTGCAGTACAGAAGCTGGATGAAATTTTGACCTTATATATTACTGCTGCATAAGTAATCCTCAGAAACACTCTCAGTATTCTTAACTGTTTGTAGTTACCACAGGACTTAGGAATAGTTATGTTGCACTTTTGCAATTAAAATAAAGTGTGTTCTAGATTGTAAATTTTTCATTAAAACATGATTTAAAAGCTTAATAGAAGGTGATATTAATGAGTTGGTTTAGACAGTCTGTTTTAATTCAAATGCAATTGATGCATCTCTCTTATATGTTGTAAGTTAGTCTTGGTTTTAAAAGGTGAAAATAATTTGTAAAATGTGATGACAAATATGCCAGAAACAATAGCTAGGGACGTGTGTATCAAACAGAAAAGGCAAGTGGCATGTTATGGCCAGGGCTAGTTTAAAAAACCAAAACCTCCAGAAAACTGATCTCTGTTCAGAGTTGACACGTAGAGGAATGAGGGTCTTGGACAGATATAAATTGGATGACAGATACGAATATGCATAACTATTGTTTTTGAACACTTTGCACCTAATTCAACTTTTATCCAAGATACCTTTCACTGCTCCTTGCATTGTCAGTGATTTGGCTTATGTTCTGCCTTTTAAAAAAGATTGATTAACCTGTCCCTTTTGATTTTTGAGGTGCTCATACTCAAGAGTGCTTTTTAATTCTGTAGCAGCATATATCAATACGGTAAGCTGGTGTCTGTTCATTTTGCAGCACCCCATCTGGAGCTCTTGCACAGAATTTTGTTTTAAAGAGGGGAATTCAGCAGTTGACTCCGAGGCACAAATAACCATGTAATTACTGTGCAATCACATTGTAATTAGCATGTACTATTCATATATTGCCTAATTATATGCCCTGCAGATTACATAGTAATTATATTTGTACTAAACATATAATTCTATATACTGTATTAAAAAAACTTTGGAAGTTCATAGTTAAGATTTTAGTTGTATGCTAATGTAGTACAGTGTTTTACATAAAAATGTTACAATTTTATGAGAGGGTTGTATTTTGGGTATCTCATCTCTTCTGCATGCAGTGTTGCTTAAACTGTTGTAGGCTGCTATTATAAAAAAATTCTTGGCTCTGTTAATTTATAGTCAAATGTTGCATGTTTATAATTCTGTAATTTATGAACATAAGGAAAAAGTTGCAGTTTATTGTGCAAGCAACTGAGATTGGGAAGGACTTGGAGTGTGAATGTTAAATGCACAAAGGTTAAATGTACAACCCCCTGAACGCAGTTACAGCACATTGCTGGAGTGAAACACAAATCTAATGCTACTTATGCTTTGTGTTATTTTTGGATAGGTGAGATGCATGGGTTGTAGGTGATATATTTGTATAATGTGAAATGTGTGTGAGCAGCCAAGGCCCATCGTGGGTACAGTATGTTCAAACAAGTGCAGAACCTCAGTGCAGCACATCAGCCAAGCTGCATCATCTTTTCCTGCCATGGAAAAAGAGAAATGGTCGATGTCCTGATCTGGAAATGGAAGGCAGAGTGGTAGGAGAATGGGGATGAGTGGCACTGAGTTGTAGAAGGACCTGGGACTAAGTTTCTGGGTAAAGGTGGAAGATCTAGGAAGAAAAAGCTTTAAGAGGAACTTAGAGCTTTAAAATGTTTGAAGTGTTTTATCTTTGGCCAGCCCCCCCTAAGAAGTTGCAGCAGATTTTAGATATTTGCAAACTGTTTTGTTCAGCTTGCAAATTCTGTAGCAGTGGGAAGTTAATGTATTTTTTTGGATCTGTGATGTTGGCTTTCCTAATATCCAAAGCAGCATTATGGTTATTCTTAATTGAATTTTGCAATCTAATGCCAGTTGCCTTCATTTTCAAGCAAAGGATCTATTGGGTTATAATATCTGGGTAATGTATTGCAAAATTAAATGTGTAATTATAGCCTTAAATTATATCTGAGTTTAATTTTTCCTGTAACTTCTTGTAGTGTGTGCATGTGTGTGTGTGAGAAAGAGACACACTCCTTGTTTTATAATGTTTCTTTCACAGTCACTTGTTAATTCTGTGTCAGCTTCTTCAAAGCTTGTAAACTTCATAAATTTACCAGAGTTCAGGTGGCATCTATAGGCCTTATAGCAGTGTTTTTACCTAAGCATGGAGCTTGCAGGCCTTGTGGGTGGCTTTAGAGAGCTTCCAGTTGTGGGGCTGCACCTGATTTCCTTTCTGTCTGGGTGAACTGTTCTCATACCTCAAAAACTGTAATAATGGGCACATAGCTTTTACATTCTGCAAAGTACACAGATTACATTTAAATGTTGTTACCTGGGGTAGACACAGAACATCATTTAACTTGTTCAAGGGAGAAATTACAAATGTCAGAGCTTTACAATGTCAGAGCTTTACAAAACCAGAGTTAGAAACCCACATTCTCACTGTGTTCTTGTGCAATGGGCCAAACGTATCCCTTCCAATTTACCACAGATTTTAATGGCTGTTTAGTGAGACCAAGTCTTACCCAATATTCATCCTGCATGTCTGCTACAAGGAAGATGAAGTGCAGCCTGCCCAGAATATTTGTCATTTATGTGCCAGCATTCTGACCTTAACGCATGCCTGTGCTCTTGTTCACTTAAACCATTACCCTGAGAAACATAAGGACTGGTTGCAGTTTCTGACACTGAAAGTTTTGTATGTAACAAGTATGTGTATTGAGGATCTCATGAACAGTGAAATAACCACAAACATCAAAGCACAGTATAAATGTGACGCATTTCTCACTGCTGTTGTGTTGTTTTTTCTAGTGGAGCCAGTACTTTCAAAGGGGAACAATTGCTTGGATGCAGCAAAAGCTTGCAACCTAAATGATACCTGCAAGAGGTTCAGATCTGCTTACATAACCCCCTGCACCAGCAGCACGTCTAATGAAATCTGTAACAAGCGGAAGTGTCATAAGGCCCTCCGGCTATTTTTTGACAAAGTCCCCCCAAAGCACAGCTATGGGATGCTCTTCTGCTCCTGTCGAGACGTAGCCTGTACAGAAAGGAGACGGCAGACTATTGTTCCTGTGTGTTCATATGAGGACAGGGAGAAACCAAACTGCCTGAATTTGCAAGAATCCTGCAAGAAGAATTACATCTGCAGGTAAGATAGCACATGGCAGGGGAGTGATTAATGAGGTACCACAGAGAACTTTTTGGTACTGATGGATTTGCCAGGACTAAGGGTCACAGTATCCACTAAGAAAAAGGATGAGTCAAGGAAAAAAGCAAATGCCTCTGACATCCTTAACAGAGTAACAAAAGCCTGCATTTGCTTACAGTGTGTGCCTTCTCCAAAACTGTTCACAGCTACTCCCTCGCATTACGGAGAAGTTTTTAAACCCCCAGTTTAATTTTTACAGATTTTTGTTGGAAACATTAGGTGTTTTTATGAAATGATGTCTGAGACGGATTTATGTGTCCCGTTAATGACCAGGTAAAATAGAATTTTTCACTATAATGGGGTTTATTTTCATTGTGCATGTGAACACTAATAACTGGGAATACAAGCTTCATGTTGGACTTTATGCATTGGTCACAATGCATTGGTCACAATGCATAGACTTGGGTTTTTTCTTCATTGGAAAAAAAAGGAGTCCACATTTATAGATGGAACTCCTGGAATCTTCATGGAGCTGTTTTAGTCTTGAAATTTATCTCCCCTCCCCTGAGAAGTGTGCTGGGCTGTTGCAACTGGAGTTCATTGATTCACTGACCTAATTCCCAGCCCCTTTGCTCTGTGTGTTCAGGACAGAGAGGCAGTGCAGAGCACTGCTCCACTGGACAAACTGGGTCCTTTTGCCCTCATTGAGTCCCTGCAGGTTGTCACACAGCACTTCTTCAGTGGCATAGAGGACCTCCTCTTCTCTTAGAAAATGCTTTAGTCCTACTTAGTATTGTTTATGTTTATATTAGAGCGTTGTTGTGCTAATGTCATATTTATGAAGTCATGCCCAAGAATCCTGCTCATTTGTAATGTGTAAATTTCTTATAGCTTATCCAATTCTGTGAATTAGCAAACAAGGAGATAAACACTATTGTAAAATGTCAAGGACGCTGAAGATATGATATAAATCTTAATAAGCATTTACTTGTGCCTGGTAAAATATTTACTTTGAAGTTTGTTTATGAGATCTCCTGCTGGTCTTAAGCTTTTAGCTGTAGCACTTCAGATATGCCCGCGTGTTGTTCAGAGGTGAAGAGTTGAGCAGCGCCCTGCCCTTGATGGCTACAGGGAAATCTGGAGGCAGTTTCCTGCTGACCGCAGTAAGAGCAGATTTAACTCAGAGAAGAGTTCTCATTTCAGTCCAGTGGCTTGCATTCAGCACCTTTGTAGCTGATGCTGTTGCAGTTAATGAAAGCTGGATACACGTAGCCTAGAACAATCCATTTTCCATTTCCATGTTGTACCATTAATATGTTTGCTTATATATATTGCCTTCCCTATACGCAGGCCCTGTTAATTAGTAGAGTTACAGTATCTTTACTGTGTTTTCTTCCAAACTACCAATGTGTTACAATGCCAGTGAAATTGGAGATGTGTCCCGGTTATTCAGGTTGTAGTGTTCAGGAATTAATTTGTTAAATTAATACCGTTATGTCTCTCATGACTGTGTTTTTCTTTTGTCAGCTTTGATCTAATGTTGTCTCAGCAGCTAAGTTTTTAATGGCATTTTGTTTAATGTAACGAATCTGGTGTGCTTTCTCCATTGCAATGTTGCAGAAGAAAGCTTGGTAAAATCTCTACTGAAGTTGCAGCCAGCACTGGGATGAAAATGGATTTCTTTGTAGATTCCTCCTGTGGCTTTTGCTTTAAAATGCTGAAATTAAAAAGTTTGGGCTCTTCCAAGGCTCGGTGAGACCTGGCTATGAGGGTGAGGGGCAGCACTGGTACAAGGGTGGGCAATGCCTGCAGGGTCTGGAGCAGTTAGTGTGTGCAGCCATAGGTCCTGTGGAGGGTAAAGCAAGCTTGATGTGTTGCTGAGAGTCATGTCACATCGGTGTTACTACCTCCTGGGCTGTCTAAACTGCTGGTGTATCTAATACCTTCCTCACTGCTGTCATGGAGAGGAGAAATTGGCCCAAAAGCTATTCCAGTCTATCCATAATACAGTGAAAGATATTTTGTCTCTGCGACTTCTTGTGCACTTAAAGGGAGTTGGTGTGATTTGTTCCCCTGGTCCTGCAGGAAACCAGAGACTTAGGCAGGGGAGGAAAGAAATGGGAGATGACCTCCTTGTTATTGAAAGTATTGGCACTGATAAGTATCAGTCCTCCTAGTAATTCCAGATATGTTTAGAATAATTAAAAGCAGCAGTCAGTAGGTATGTAATTGTAACTCTGATAACTTGTATTTAATTTTGAAATCAGAGTATCTAAAAGGCAGAATAATTTGAAAATACGTTCTGCCTACTGAAAAACCATATAATTTAGAAACTATTATATTTGCATGCCTATTACATGTATTAAAGCCTTCTCATAATGCTGATTAACACAAGGGGTAAAAAGTTCTAAAGGTTTTCTGGAAATATAGTAGTAAATGTTTTATGAATGCTGCTTCCTAAGAAATGCAAGATTTGAATCTGCCCATAATCTGTATAAAATATCACCTGGGCCTGTGCAAACAAGTATTCCATATTGGGTGCTCTTTAGAAGCCTTATCCTGGTGTAAATACATGTGTGTGTGTGTATATATATATATGTGTATATGTGTGTGTATATATATATATATATATAACTGAATCTGTTCTTGAAACAGAGATAAGAGCAGGGGTGATTTGGCCAAGCTGCAGGTGCCACTAACAGAAATGGCAGGATGCTTTGCTTATTTTTTATTCATTAATCTATCTGTTACATAACATAAACTCTTAATAGAGGGAAAAACAGACCAGAAATGTCAGGAAATGCAAATAAGTTTTGACTTAAGTAAACAGTCCTAATTTTTCAGCTTCATCAGAATACTGAATGGTTCACTTTCATTATCATTTTTCTGCTGCCTCTGCTTGTATCGCAGTCCATATGCAGCTTTGAAACCAATCAGAGTCTCTCAGGCATGTCTGTCAATGCTCACTGAAAAGAAAAGAAAAAAAAATAACAGAGAACAAAAAAAAGCCATTAGAGTTCCTTTTTGTTATGAACATAAACAAATCTTCTAAGGAAAAACAATATGCTGTCAATAACTTACACCAGTGATGTCCTGGAATAGCACAAACCTCTGAGGAACCTCTTGATCTGATCGCTTCAGCCAACAATTAAACTTTAGAAAGCTGACTGACATGTTTTGAAAATGTTTTAAATGCAGGGCAGCGTGCTTCATTTTTGCCCCTATCACATTTGACAGTGTTTCAAAAAGTATTTTGCTTGAGTAATGAAACTGTGAGTCACTAATTTGGTCTTTTTGTTTTGTATTTTGAATTTGTATACCTCCTCTCTTTCCTGGATATGTTCAGAAGACACTGACCGGAGTGGTAATGGTACAGACCCATTATTTATTGAAAGAACAGTATCAATCCAGTCATGTGCTGCAAGGATCAGAAAAGAAGGGCAGCATTTTTTATTAATAAAAGAAACTGGTAACATCATGTTTCTTGTCCTCCACAATTACTATATTCAAAGTGTCTGGTCAAATCACTGAGGCTCATTTTTGAAGCCGAAATAGCTAGGAAGTAGTTCTTAACTAATTTCAGAAGACAGTTGTTTGTTTTGTTGTTTTAGTTTTTTTGGTGACTTGTTTTTGTTGTTGTCTTTCTAAAAAAAATACAATTCTTAATGTTTTGCCTTTAGTTCTTCAAAGAGTACACGTTGCTGTCTTTGACTGTTTGCTACTGAAAAAAAAATAAAATGGCTGCATAATATATTTAAATAACTCCTCCTGGGATGTCTGAAGCATAATAATGAAATACCCTATTAGGTTTTAATAGACAGGTCATCTCCTTGAAAATACAGTGAAAGGTATTTTCAGCATTGTGGGTCCAGAGAGCTAAATCTTTATAAATCTGCTTTCATTGGTGTGTTCTTACTTCTTGACCAGTTTCTGGTTACCTATCTGTTGCAACCACCCATTCAATTCTGTATGAAAGATATCTGCTTCTACAAATATCAGAACACTGTGTGAGATATGCAGACATTGTTGTCAGTGTTCATCCGCTGTAAAAGTTAGAACAAATGCTCAACTGCTTGATATGTTTCCTGAAAACATAAGAAACCTGACAAGAAAATAATTTGCCTTCATGATATTCTGTTGAACACTTTTAATGATAATTTACCTTTGGAAAGGGAGTCGCTGTATCTGTGCTCCTTTTTCATAAGGCATGTGCAAATCTGCAAGTGCTTTGTATCTGTAACCTGTTTGTAAAAGTGGCTTTTCTGTGTAAGACTTATGGGCTGTTCTTGCAGCAAGTACCCTGCTGACTGCAAACCCTGCACCCTCGTGGTTCAGCACTATAGACAAGTCTATGATGAGATGTTATAAACGTGCAGGCAACCTTTTTTGTCCTTCTGTAGGAGTGGGGGAGCCCAGCATCTTGTGTTAGGAGGGACATCTTCAGTTAACAGCATTAACAAGTAGCAGGGAGGAGTGCGCTGGAGGGACATGTGGGAGGAGATAGAAGAGGGGAAGAAGAATTATGCCCTTTTCTTCAAATTTTCTAATCCTTAGACTTTCATTTTTTCCCACTTTTTTCCCTTACTTTTTTTTCTCCTGCCTCTTCCGCTTGCTTAGTCTCCTTTCATCTCCTCTTTCCAGATCTTCCAGTGATTATTTGACTTTCACCGGCTCCCTGACATGTTTGAAATCTATTACAGCCACTTATGGCACCTCCTCACCTGCATCTCTGCATGTTGTGCTTTTCATCCCTCACTAGCCTACCATGGTCTGGTGATCATCTGTAATTCAGCAAATGAGAGGGAGAACATGGGTGCTGCCTCCCTTTCTGAACCTGCTACTGATGACAATTCACTTGGCCAGCTACAAAGCCTGACTGCTCGCTCTCAGGCTGACTCTAGTTTTGTGTGTTAAGAGTACATTTGGTGGACATTTACATGAAGGACCCAGTAGCATTATCCAGTTCTGTATAATGGAGTTGGATTTGAGCCCCTCCAGGG